GCTGGCCCGTGGCGGCCGCTGCCGCCTGCCTACCTCAGGAGAAACAGAGGCGCATAGTCAGAAAGGCGTTTAGGAAGTTAGATAAGATGAACAAAAAGAAAGAGCAGACTGTTCCTAAAGATAAGAGCTCTGTGGAGAAGATGGAAACGCTGGTTCACCTGGTAATCTCCCAGGATCACACTATCCGCCAGCAGATCCAGAGGATCAAGGAGCTAGATCGAGAGATCGAGCGCTACGAGGCCAAGGTGCACTTCGATCGCATCAAGAGACACGGGGTGAACTATGTGCAGGACACATACATGGTGGATGCCTCAACGGAGGCTCCTGCTCCGTCGGACTGTAAACACAAAACGGAGCGGTGCACGGCGGAGGCACTGGCACAGTTTGAGGAGTATGCGCGCCGGTGCGAGGAGGTGGTGCGGCTGCAGGAGGAACTGACGGAGCGCGAGGCGCTCGTGGAGACCATCTCTGGAGAAATCCAGGAAGAGCTCAATCGGCGGTGGATGAAGAGGCGGCGGGAGGAGAGAGGAGCGGATGCGGCGAAAGACACGGACAGTGTCGTAGATGAGACGTGCCTTGTCGCATTTGCCGCTCCAACTGCGGAGTCAGGTGTTGAGAATTTGTCCGAAAACGAGCTGGCTCTGGAGGAGGAGCGGGTCAAAACCCAGCTGGGCACCAGTCTGTACATCGGTCTTCGGCTGAAGACAGACCTGGATGCCATCAGGGGGGACTTGGACCTGAGTCTGACACTCTGGGAGACCAAGGAGAGCGAACTGCTGGACCTGCTGGCCAAAGTTGAGACCTTGGAGTTAGAGCAGGTGAACAACAAACTGACCGATGATGGTAAGGGAGAGCTGGGTGCAGTGAGCACTGAGGCTGAGACTGCATCAGCAGAGAAGCACAGTGTCTGGGTGGAGCAGGCCAGGGGTCTGTCCAAATCCTGCAACACAAATGACGAGGACTCAGACACAGGCCTGAGCTCCATGCACAGCCAGGACTCTGACAACCCACCTGTGTGTGAGTCACTGGTGTAGACTGGCTTGGTTTGGAAGCATGTTGGACTTTTATGCATCTGAAAGCCATAAACTCAGGGGCAGAGAAATCAGTGTTGGCAATACTGGGAGACAGTCTGGTCTTCCCTGCTCAAAATGCACCTCAGTGTAATTCTATAGCAATAATGCCTTCATGTAGTCATTGCACAGTAAGCTAGGGGGGGACAGCATGCTTAGAGGTCTGATAGAC